CTAGTAATTTACCCTATAGTTATAGTGATCGGTGCAGGGCTAAATTTTGGTTTACCACAATCTAGCAATCTTGCATACATGTACAGGGTTCAATGATATTCAGTCAAATCACATTTTGGCATTTCATAAGAAGTTAACTCCATATGGGACAAGCTTGACTGAAAGTGTAAAGCACAAAAAGTTCTATCAATATTTCAAAAGCGAAGATAAGATGATAATATGATTACTGTTAATGCGTATGATCCAGAATATTGATAGCTCAAGATACATCTTAAGAGTTTTGGTCCTAGCAACTTTGACGCTCTTTTTTGTTTATCTTAGAGGAGAATTTTAAATTTTTTATGGAAATGTATGAGATGATGTATCTTTTCATAGTCCAGAATCTCTTCTTAATGAGCTCCGCGTTCGACTAAATTTAAGATGAGCTAGCACTGCATTCGTATTAAATGTTTTTGAGTAGCATCAGTAGTGTGATTAGGAGATTGAGAATTTCGAACAAAGATGCATATGCTCATTTCTAAACAAACTCTATGCGTTCGTTGATAGCTTAGAATCAATTAATATGCCAAAGTCCTCAGTCGAGGGATTGTTTTAAATCTGTTCTATTAACCTCGTTATTAGTTGGGTTATCTTCCCAAGATATACAAGAGTCGCTTCAGCTGGGATTAAGGTAGAAAATGTTTTTTGAAGTTTCTATGTTTAGGGCTCCAAAAGAAGGTTGAAGTGCAGAATGCATAGCAGCAAAACCATCTTCATTTTGAAACGCGTATGATTTGTAATTTTTGGTAAAGAAAATACATCATTAGCATATAGTTATTTATGAGAAGTCTATAAGACTTTAGAGTAACTTGTAAAGATCTCACAAACATCCCACACTTTGAAGCTTCCTTCATTCAAAAGCTTTTTTAAGAATTGTTGCTTTGAACCTACTAGGACAAATCCTTGAATTCAAAAGGGCTGACTAAAGAAGGAGCAGGAAATCACAGCTAAGCCTGAACTTTGTTAAAACTTGCTAGAGGATCTAAGCCTTCTCACAATCTTAGCAAATACACTGTAAGCCTTTTCAGAATCTTTCTTTGGTTCCCAAGCAGAAGCCGCGATCATCGCAAATCGTACCGATTACTGCGTTGGAGATGAAGTGCTACAATGCGTACCTCCAATCTATCCATATGTACAAAACTATAGAGTGAGTTTGCTTATTTTCGATAATTGAATATGACGCATACATTACAATATGAAGCTCAGTATTGTAGGGGTATACATATAATGAATTGTAATTGTAACTTGCCCAATGTAAATAAAGCCAAAGCATATAATGCCAAAGCACGTTGGCAAATTCTGAGATATGCTTCTTGAATTATTTTCAAAAAAAAGTTTTGAAATAGGAAAAGCGGAGAAGGAGGTAAGAGAAGAAGGTTTCTTGTTAAGTTTTGTAATTTATGAGTTTTTACTTTATTAGTAAAGCCTCGAAATCAAGTGGACAGAAATCATTTTTGGACCTATAAGTCGCATGAAAATCTTGTTCAAGGTATCACCCAAATATCATCTCCTTGCGTGCACAATCGAGAAGAACTTCTCGACAATGTTAACAGCCATTATTTGCTACTTGTTTGATGAAGATCGTTTTATTCGACAAAAGAAGAACATTATTACGGAAACATACCGCAGACGGTAGGTCAACATTTAAAAGGATTCAAAATTTGTGCTTCTTCCGAATCTAACCAATTTTGGAGATCCTGTGCACAACTCAACGAGTACACTTCCCTCACTACCTTACACAGTACATTGAATCACAAGGACTGGAGCATGATGGCTGTGGTTCGCGATCCATTAGAAAGATTTGTATCCGGTTTTGCTAACAAATGTCTCAGGTATGTGTCTCTATGGTATGATCTTTAACAACTTTTTATGAAAGCCTTTAGGGAGAAAGTGTGGAAAAAATTTCCGGATCGCTGTAATGGATGCCAAAAGGTTAGTTTGATTCCTAATAATAATTAATTTAGTGATTAAACTTAAGCCGCATAGCCTTTT